TAAACCCAGGTCATTTATCAACATTTATTTCAATAAGGGAAGGGCGAAATGGGAAGTGGCACGATTCGCGCACGTTACCACGCGCGCGGTCCGAAAATCGAATTCCAAATCAACTCTCGTCTGAGTCAACCTAGTCCTCTAACCCTCCAAGGAACGATTGGGAACAGCTTTATTTGCGGGAATGAAGGTCCTTACGTGTTCAGTTGGCCCCCGAAATTCATTCTATAGGCTATATAAGGGAAATCGTGGCATACCAGCATGCTGCAGGGAATTTAAATGCGTGCCGCATTCCAAAGGGTTGTTCAACGGCGAACATATTCTCCTCTAATCTTCTATAAGATGGAAGTAGTCTAGTGGCGAGCAGTCTCCTTACCGCATGCGCGGTACGGAGTCACATTCCGGACCGGCCTCCTACCCAGGCCATCCGAGCCTGCCACCCTCCGAGGGCGGTGATCGCAAAGCTTTGTATGGACTGTATGCCGCCTCCCAAAAAGAGATAATCACCTGCGATAGCTTTATGAAGAGAATTGGCTATTCGAGCAATAACAACATTTAGCTGAGGATCGCGCAAGAACGGAATGATCGTCGACTGGAGGATCTTACCCTGCGATTCGAACAAACACTGCGCCAGAGAGAAACCGATCATCTGCGTGAAGTCACAGAATTACATGGTCGCATAGAATATCTTCAGGTAACCCTGTTCTCAGCTATGTAATTCTGCTTGCTTACTATTTCTAAGTGCTACTATGTACCGCTTGGGTGGGGAAGGTGGTGTAGTGACAGGTTGCGCGCTCATCACTCGCCGATCCTGGGGTTCAAATCTCGAGTCGATTCCCGCCCAGGCCAACCAAGCCTTCTACCCTCCGGGGACGGCTACCAGATTCGTTTGGGTGCGACCCCCTCCATGCGTTTCATACCAGCTGTATGAAACCTAGTGAGGAGGGGGGGGCGGGGAGGGTCGTACTGCGCCATTGGGGAGGGGGAGTCGTTTCATTCGGTCGTTGTTGGGAATGTTGGGGGTCTTATGTGCCTTGTTAAAAATTTGCCTACCCACTAGCTGGTAATTCCACCAAAGTTCTATACAACTACGATTTTCGATAGCTGAAAATAGTGAATGGTTCGTGACGACCCCTCCCCCCCGTTACGCGAAAAGTTTTAGGGAAAAGCACGCCAATTTTTTTGGAGGCGAAAGTAGCCAATTTCGAGAATCAACCGCAGGTAGGAAGCTACTTATAGGAATGGTAGGTTGGTGTTGAGGAATGGCTGGGGTCGTACCAGACCCTCTCTTAGGTGGGGGGGGACGTACCGAGATCGTCTTTGAGGAGGGGGGTCGTACTGAAACCACCATTTCACACATCACGATGCTGTACCCTGAGCGAAATGCGTGTTGCATCGCAACAAAGGGATTGATCAAGGGCGAAGACTCCAGTGGGTCGCCAAACGAATATGATGAACAAGCGATCAGCACCATAGCCTGAGCAGCGAGGAAGCAACGCTTGAAGAGCTTTTCCTAGGACATCGAGGGAGTAGCGAAGAAGACGAAAAACGCTCGGCTCAGTGCCCCACACTTCGATTACGCCGTCCTTCCTGCTCAACTCACACCTCGGAGACTTGGACTTTACAAAAGCAGGGGATGCGATTACGCCTCTTTGACTCTGCGAAAGCAGGATGAGCATGCTGTTAGCGTCACTCAGCGCGCCATCGGAAGGCCCGTGCTTGGAGTTCTCCCGCAAGTGAGAGAGGGAATCCGGAGCTCCGCACTCCGCCGACGATCGAAGATCAGAGACGCCGCCGCATTTGCCAAGGTTTCGAAGATCAGGTGGGCCGGACACGTCACGAGGACGACCGCTGGACCAGAGCGATCACCGACTGGATTCCACTGTATGTGAAGCGATCGTGGAAGCTTTGAACGAATGGTATGATGTTCATCGTGTCCCTCGAGCACAGAGAACCCATTGGGCAACACTTGCACGTTGCAGGGACGAATGGAGACGTTACTGGCGCCCGCTCGAGGAACTCGATGATCAACGGGAGCACAGGTGATACAGGTGGAGAGAATCGTGAAGAAAGATCCCATGGATCCTCTAGATGAGGTGTAAGGTCACAATTTGCAACAGTGCAACACGCTGGGAGTTTATAAGCAAATTCTATCTACTTGATTTGGTTGGAAATTGTTAGTTCGTTCTCCGCAATGAATATCACGTATGTTCGGCTCGAAGACTCCAGGCCTACACGAAACGGGCACCCGAAGGAGAACATTTCGACGAATATGGCGGTTTTTACTATGCATAACTTACTTGCAATATGTAGGTAGCAATTTTGGATTCCATATTTGTCAACATCAGTCCAGAATCTATGTGCCTAGGCCTCCGTTCAGAGCTCCATGATAAGCTGGCGACCTCCACGTGTGCTCACAGACACCTAGAGCCATCAATATTTGACTTCGAGTTCATTTATCTGTACAAGATACGGGATGTATTCTTTCAGGGATTCATAGAGACACACATTGGCTCGATCGAAGCGAAATGATGTGTATTTAGAGTGCTCCTTTCATGGAAAAAGCTACGAAGCTAGCTCTTCCAGAGTGTGACAGCCTTTCTTTCATTCTGAAGACTTACTTTACTGTAGCGGCATACTTTAAGGACAAGTTGGAGGCGACTCGGGAAATGAATGAGTCCCTTGAGCAGCGACTGGAGAATGCAAATAGTGAACTGCTAGACCATTCTCAAAATATGGGTTCCACTATGGCCGAGATAAAGGACCTACGGCAAGAAGTGAAAGATCTAAGGCTCTTCAAGGCCAGGCATAGGGTCAGTCACATGCAGTGAACTTTTTACGAAAATCCGCTCACACGCAATGCAATAGTTCTTTAGCAAGAGATGGAGAGCATAGATCGACTACGGCAAGAGCTTGAAGAACACAAAATGATTGCTAAGACCGTCGTCGAGGAATTTGTAAAGGTAAGCGATCTAGCGACTAGTCCAACACAAGCGGGTTCTTCTCTTTTATGCTTTACAGTAAAGACACATAATTAATAGTTACAGGTGGAAAACGAGCGAGACGAGAATCCAATCAGCGGCGACATCGAGCCATCATCGCAGAACTTGACGAGGCTGAAGAAGAGATACTCACCTGAATATAAGAACTATCTTGAACAGTGATTCTCCGAGAATTGTTTTCGATACGATCTCCTTCTCAGCAAGGGTATGGTCCAGGTTTCATTTCGGAAATTATTTTCTTTTGGTGAGCGTGGTCTTTCAGTACTTCTGAAAAATGAATCGTGCTTCTCAAACAGAGCAAACTTTGCAAGGCCGCGATTATACTACCTCGTGACACTGGTGACTTTCAAAGGCAGTTGGCACGATAAATCCCCCAAGATGACTAGGATCAATACTCCTGGCAGGATAGAATTCCGCGACCCTGGGCGGGCGCTGCATAGCGGTTGCCGAGGAAGGTGCCCTCTTATAAGGGCCCTATCAAGCCACAACTTTACGTCCCAAACGCCCGCCCGCCCACAAATGGACGACCGTTCCTGACGCTCGTATTCATTCATTTGCTAAGCAAATTATGGAAGCGAAGGCGACTGGTATGAAGCTGCGCCGTCTGCATGGATATATGAGTACACATATGCAGAAGTATCTTCGCGGTGATTGGCAAGATGCCTACGGGAAACTCGTCCGAAATCGATTTTCAAGTCACTGAGAAACGGAGGCTTTTTCTTCGCAGGATTTTGACCGTTTCACTCCGTTCTTTCGCCATTTCCCCACTATACAGCGCCCTACTAGCATTTGAAGGCCTAAGAAAAC